CAGCTCATCCCTTTTCTCCTCAAGCTTGACTTTCTCCACTGATAGCAGCTGAAAATATTCCCATGCAAGATCCATCTTCTGCACCCCATGCCCATAACTCCTTTCCCTTTCCAACCATGTCTTAACCTCACCAACCAAGTGGGGGAATTGTTGCTTGGCACCCCCACCTGATGCTCTGACTCTCGTGTGGTTCCCACCTGATGCTTTTTTCCCTTTGCTCAATCCACTCCTTTGCGTTCTCTCATCTGCTGTTGTGCTTTGCTGATGCTTCAGAATCTCTGTCTCCCATTTGGACCTTTCAGCATAAATCCCCTTCAACACATGAGGTCTCATCAGGATTGTCCTATTCCATGTCCTTGCGCATTTTCCTTTCTGATTCTTCAGTACGCTCTCCGTTTGGGGAGGGGGGGGGTTGGCCAAAAAAGAAAAAATTGGTGCTGCCTCAAATCAAGGCCACCAATTCTTTTTCTTTTTTTTGGCCGACCCCCCCCCCTCTGGGAAACTCTGTGCGGTCCATGTCGGCGACGCTGGCGACATTGCGATGTCTATGCGATGTCTGCTACTGTGATGTGGCGCGTGATGTGACAGTATCCTCCTACATTTTATCCTTAAATAAGAATACCTCCAGCGCATAGATAGTAAATTCGTAAGAAGACTAGAACACTGGGAAAACACACACCTCCACAACGTCGTGTTCTGAAAAAATACGGCAGGAGGTGGGAAGCAAGTGAGTGTGTTACCAATGGACCACCGCAAAGTAGAATCGAACTATATATATAGCTTATCATTTGGATTCAAAACCTCTTCATCCGGGATTTTATTACACGGCTTGTGCGGCTTGTGAGCCTCCAGTTGAGATTCCAGGAAAAGGCATGAGGCTGGATCTTAAGGTACCTGTAGGGGGACCGATTTCTGGAGGTCCCAATGATTCCTTCAGTCTCCGGACTCCGAACCGATTCGCTTCGCCTCTGGGCTGTCCAACGACTCGCTGGTCATTTGCCGAATCCTCGGAGGCTTCGCTGAGCGTCGCTCCGACTCAGCCCCCCCTCCTACCCAACCCGATGTTCGTCATGCCCAGGTCCCACACAGGGAGGCTGAGCGAGCGAGGGAGTTGCATCGGACGCCGCAGTCGTAAGAAACTCAGCTTCCCTCACTCGCTAGAGCCATTCAGGTTTTCGCTCAGAAGGCTTTACGACCACCTTCCTGGTGGTCCATCTTCCAACATTGTTGTTGGGGTCCATCTTACATCCTTCATCACCCGACCATTACCTGGAGACGCTAACATCCTTTCAATCGACACGGACAACCAGCGGTGTAAACAGGGTGGTCATAGTTTTGATATCAAGTCCCACGCAGCTTGATGCAGGTGTCGAGCTATTCCCCAACAATCCATGAATAGAATATCTACAGTACCTACCCCACAAAACATCTTAAAACCAACCTTATAATGGCAAATATCGTATACATGAATTGTCAAGCCTTCTTGCTTCATCGCATTTCTTCGCACATCTGACTGGTCGATGATTGGAGCAGCGAGATGTTTTTCTCACACGGAAGAACAGTGGTTGGGACAGTCAATCTCTCTGACGGCCAGTGGATATGAACTATTTGTTGTACAGTATGTTTTTTCGTAGGGCTCCAAGTACCTCCTCAGAAGGTGTTTGGACCCTCCAACCCCACCCCAAACACCTTCTTAGAAGGCACTTGGAGCCCTGGGGTTTGTTGAGAGTACAACGGTACAAGACACATCCCTAGCAGAATCAAGCTTTTGACCTCTGACGTGCTACGCTGCGCAGGGACCCCACTGCAGGGAACCAACGAGTGTGCTAATCACCAGTGTGTTTGCCCTGAACATTAGAGGTGAACCTTTCTCCACTCGTGGGATTTTAGTGGGAAAACCACTGCCCCCCCCAAAAGGTTAAAGTTCAAGAATAGCAACTTTTCCTTGGTTAGTGTGAGACACCTCCATATCGCTCCTTGAAACGTGTTAAACATCACTCGCACTTTGACAAGTTGGTCGTGTAATCGAACCCGCTCCATGTGCTGCAAAACATAAACTCCTCCGAAGGTGTCAGTCCCAAATCAATCTTGCAGAAGGCTCGTTACAACGTCTGCAGCCACATGGAGGGGGATCGCCTACGAAGTTAAATGGATACATAATACATATCGCTGTTCAAATGGGTTTTGGCTCAAACTTGGTTCACAAATCTGCTCACTTCTACAAGCCTGAATTGTTTTGAAGCTGCATCCAAGAGTGGTATCTTTGAGCCATACCGGACACTACATCGAAGACTTTGCTTCGTTCTCCTGTGCACTGGGCTTTGATCGCCGCTTGCAAGCCGCTCCTCTTTGTCCAGCTGGTTCAGCTGGCCTTTTCATCATTCCACAATAAAGCCGTTGAGTGTGAATCGGATGAGCGGATCTTACCTTGAGAACCTCCCCATGGCGCCAAACCAAGCGGACTCAAACCAAAAGCCCAGGGCCCTTTTTTGCTTGCCGGAGTAAGTACAGAAAACCATCTCAGTCTGAAGTCCGAAGAGTTATTCCCTTTTCTCACCCAAGGATTCACAATATTGGCCGGTCCAAGCTTGGTCGCCAGTTCGAGCCGCCGTAGATCAACCGAGGGCCCCCCGGTTCCGGAAAAAAGACCACGTCAAACTATATATGGGTATAAGTACATAGCTGTTTTCTAATGGAGTCATGTCACTCATGTCCCATGTTTTTTAGGTGCTTGAAGTACTTGAAGTCAGGTCCAGGTAGGCGGATCCACACTTCGCAGTCAGACCAGCTGAGCTGAACTTCTTGGAGCTTCCACCACAAGCGGCACGTTTCGCTTACTTCATCCTATCGCTCCTATGTTGCCTTGTTGCTTCTCTGTGGGCAAGAGGGAGCCCTGCGCCTGATGTCTTTTGAACAACGGACCAGGATTTCTGCTTAAGTCAAAACAGCCTCTTGGAACGGTAAAGAGTTCAAGCAAGATCCAGGGAGATTACCCAAGGAATCGGGTTTTCCTCTACAAAACAGGTGGTTTTCCACCTCCATGATGATTCGGTGTAGATTCTGAGGATCAGCAAGGTGGATATACAGATCCTCTCAGCTCAAACAAATCACATCTATCAAGTCTCAGCTGCCCCTCTTGAAGAGCCCCTCGTTTCAGCCGTTTCCCCGTGTTCTTCAGCTGGTGCGGGCACGCTTGGCCACACGCGTGCGGAGCTGTGAAGACTTTTGCGCGTCTTCCATGGCATCGAGGATGGCATCGCCTGAGCGAAGACTTCCGACGGAGACTGCAAACTGGATGAAGTGAGCACTGCAGGCTCAAACCACTAGCGATGAACAACGCTTTTGGTTTGGAGGCCATCGCTATTAGCTTGGAGTTCAACACCAGACTTGGCCCCCCGAGGGGTCAACTGGATCGTTCGAAAACCAGACTTCCTTCGCTTTCTCTGCTCCATATCTAGAGGTTCCCCTCCATCGAAGAGTCCCTTTTGGATGGGAAAAGACGAAAAACGCCATGGCAGGTCCGACAGTGACACACTCAGGGCCGTACCGTGACTCACTCAGGCCCGTACAGTTGCTTCAACAATAGAGAGTTGGAAAAGCCCAAGCAACGGGGAAATGCATATATAATTCTATAGTGGATTGAGAGGACCAATGGCACAGACCCCAAACAGGTGGTGAAAATATGTGGATCACCATCGAGATAGGACATCATGGCGTCTGTGCCATCTACTCTGAAGCCACTGTAATCATTGTCAACCTTTGGCAACTCTTCCTGGACTTGGAACATACTCCGTGCGGAGCATAAACATCGTCCGTGCGCGTCCGTGTGGACTCACCTTGCGAATTCAACATGCACCAATGGAGCAATTCATAGGGTTTGCAGCATTGTCCCAGACTACCTGTTGGGTGCATCCCTTGCTGCAGTGCAAGGCTGGTCTTTTGACCTTTGACAACGAGTGTGTAGCCTTGAGTTTTGCGGATTGATTTTTGGAAATGAATCGGCATCTATTGAATCTATTGTCACGTCTTTTGGCTAAAACCCTGGATTCACCTTCTACAATAGGCCCTGTGCAAGGTCTTTCTGATTGTACCAGTAGCTCAAATGACCGTGGCATGACAAACATCAACTCAGCTCATATGGAGTTTCCGGACGAAGGACATCCGCAGGCAAAGGTTCAGCCAGCATGTCGTACGAATCTTCTCCAGTTTCGCGCCGCACGTTGGCCAAAGCAAGAAGCATCAAAAACACTCAATTCTCCAACCTCTCTACCCCTCCACTTTCAATGAGACTGGGTGAACTCGGGAAAATGACTAGAAACAAGCAGGGGGATCCAAGATCAAAGGAACAGCTGTCAGCAGTCCTGAGCTTTCTTACAGTTTCATGCCTGTAACATGTCTGCTGAGCTGAGCTCTAAACAACACACCAACCAACACATCAACCCCCGTGTTCCCGGTCTCACACCGGTCCACACGGGCAGCCCGCATCATCGATGGCCCAGGAACGGTCTAGAAAGCCCGAACGCAACAGCTGCTGGGCTTTCGCCAAGTCCATCTTTTCCAAGATGCCTGCGCTGCGGATCGGATCGGTGGCGGTGCGGATCGGATCGGTGCAGCGGTGCTGCGGCAGCAGCTGCTGCGCTGGATCGACGCTGGAGGATCGCGGAGGCTCGAAACACAGATCTCGATGTTCGCTCGTGCTTCCGAAACACGAGTCGCAGTGAAGGAACATCAAGTGGACGAAACGAGAAACAGGTCACAGGTCGGTGTTGGGTCACCAACGCACCGCAACGGTCTGCGCGCAGATTCCAGCTGAACTCGGGCGATGGAGTCGAGTTGGAACGGCAACGTCCACAAGAACAGGGAGTTGGAACGGCAACGTCCACCTCCCGATGCCATGCGAACCAGCACGATGCAAGTAGACTTCGTGAACAAGAGCCCGGTGTCACACGGAAAAAAAACAGGAAGCCCCTTCCATCGAATGGAAGCGGAAGACCTGAAGGCCCTTGACCCTCTGAAGGGTTCCCCACAACGGAGCAAAGAAGATCAGAGAAGGATGTTCCTTTTCTAATCTCAAATCCGTGGGGTTTTAAGTGCTTCCTCAGAAAGATGGTTGGGCCCTCCAAATCCACTCCAAAGCATCTTCTAAGATATACAGCTCGATCCACAGCGGGTCCTGTTGGTATTCATGAGCCGATCCGATGATCTTGGTGAAAGCACGACAGCTGCCGAAGGTGCTTGAGGACTGGAGAGTGCCGCCGCCACTTTATGAAGTTCAGAACAAGTTCAGAACCTTAAACCAATATATTGCAGTACCTTCTTTTCGGATGGTCGAAGGGATGTTCTCGTCTGTACTTTCACAGTCAGGTCGAACTGGAGTGAACGATTTTGCGAACATCCGAGAAACGATTGGACCAAGGAATATCGCTGCATGAAGCTCCTCATCCTAAGACTACACCGGATCCCAGGCAGCAACTATGACGGTCTATGGCTGGGTCGTCTTTGGAACCGACTGGTTGCCTCCTTTTGGTGCTTTGCCTGGATCCACAGACAGTTATTTTCTTAAACCCCCAAATAGAAAGAAAGAAGAGAGTAGAAAAGAATACATCCCCACGTAGAACATGTTTGGGAATGTTTGGGACACCCCACGAGACACCTCTCTCATCCTCTCTGCCTCGTTCTCCGCCCCTCGGTCCCTCCGCCGTTGGTCGCTGATGTCCTCCGCCCCTCGTCCGCGCGTCCGCCTGCGGCGTCGTAGTACTCCGCCTCGGAGAGGATGGCAGCAGCCTTCGGCACCTGGGGCGGCGGCGTTTCACCGGGGTCGGAGCGGATGGTCCGACCGAAGCAATTCCGGTGACCAACAGAGGATGTGGGCAGGACTTATCTGGGGTGAAACACATGAACATAGGTCAACTGGGCCATGTGCGTGGGAAGGTGGTTGGAACATTTAGGGTGATTTAGCTTAGATTCCTTGGATGCAACAGGTATGAGGTTGTAAGATGCTTTAGGACTGTATGCAAACCAAAGGTGTTGAAAAGAATGATGGTCACCGGGTAGTACGGTCCATGAGGGTAATTAGTTCCGTTTCGCAACACCACGCGATTTGCAGATTTGCCTATCTATAGGCTTTGCAAAGCAAGATCTTGGCAACTACCTACTAGCCAAACAATATATGTTCCCCTAACTGTCCCAGCAGGTCTATATAGCACGTATATATACATAGTCTTCCGAAACGATCCTGACAGGGGTTCTGTGTGTTTGATTTGGAGATCGGACTCTTTCTCGTCCGATCTGCTTGACCACCAACGACTCGCCTTGAGACGCGAGAGGATCTCTGCCGCGTGATCATATTCCAACTCCGACCTGAGAGAAAGACATGGCTGTGGGTCATGACACTTGGATACACTTGGGTGGTTCTCGGTTCACCACCGAAGATGAACCAATTCCTCTATAGGGATGGGAAGAATTGGCTGTATATCGTTGCATTTGGCAGACCCTGGTGTTTTTTTTTTGCAGGGAAAAGAACAGAATGGACGACCTACAGGTCAACCTGCCAAGGTCAACCGGATGAACCGGGTGAACTGACATCGATCGGATCGAATCTTGACCAGCGAGGTTGGGGTACCCAGCCATCACAAATTCACCCAGAGTCAACCGCCCAAGCAGCCAAAGCATATCTCTTCAGCCAAACACACCGTGCAAAAAGCATGAGGCCCTGTTTTTGTTCACCATTTAGGCAAATTTTCGCAGGTCCCACCTCGAAACAGCTGAGCTTCTTTTCACCTCAACCAAAAGTCTCCCAACCCTCAAACCTCCAAAAACTCGTCCAGTACTCCTGAACCAATCCCCTCCATCCCTTCACTCCCCTCCCAAACGCACCACACTTCAGTCCCAAATGCATCACCTTCGCCGCCTGCTGCGACTCCATCGCCAGCAACACCCCTGCGGAGCCCTCGTAGTCCATGGAGGACACCAACTCTGCCGCGTCTGCCGGGTCGGCGGCCGACCTGCGAGACGTTCGGGGTGACGTCAGGGGGGGTCAGGTAGATGGAAGTCCAAACAACCCTGTGGTTGTTCTTGTTGTTGTCGTTGTTGTTGGTGGTGGTGTTTTCTTCATGTCGTATGTTTGCTTTTGGTGCGCAAGGTGAATGTGGTTCGTAATTCAGGAGGAAGCCAGGTTTGTTGGTTGTTCTTAGTTTGGTTTACAGCTGTGCCGCTTTGGGATTTGTACTAATGAAAGTTCCGCCGCAGTCGTCTTTCAGAAGATTCTAGGGGGAAAGGTGGTGCACTCTAGAACCTTCAAGAAAGAACAGCTCTTCCCATAGTTGTATATTTATACCTTGATGGTGAGTCAAAGCTCCAAGCGCTTCCCAACTTGGCGCCTTCGAAATCCACCCCAATACATATTCACTATAGTAAGCGTTCGGATAGGAGCCCTTTTTCGGCCCTATGGTATCCTATGGGATAGATTCTTCTTGGAAGCAAGGCTCAGTATATCGGCAGCTGTTTGCGTCTCCATCTCCTCCACGATATGGCATGCCGTCACATGGTGCTCGATACCACCGTATTCGTCCAGCTGCCTGGGGGGTCAGGGACCCTGGGATTTCAACCACCATTGATTTATTGGTCTTCGGTAAACCGAAGAACCATTGTTCTATGCATCCTACACTACAACACCAAGTCAACCAAGTCAACAAACATGCACTTGGATCTCCAGGGCATTGATGAGCAATGCAGCATATATGCATGCTTGCGGAGGCACCAAGAAAGAATTGTGACCCGCGTATGCCGCGTATGCGTTTCATAGTGTGGACATTGGTCGGGTGTGCCAGTTCTTTCTCCTATTCACCCCTCGGTCAAATGGGTCCTCCGGGTCGGTTGTTTTCCCAACGTGCTCGGATGGTCTTTCGCATCGGCGCAGGTTCTTGACCTGGACCTGCGCTTACCCACCCAGCTGGAGCAAGAAATCCGAACAGCGAGCTTTGCTGGTGTGTCCAAACAGGCCGTAGAATCCGGCGGAATCTGCCCAAACAAGATCCATAGGACTGCATTTAGTATACATATATCCCTAAGGATCCAGTCGTACCCTCTGAGGTTCGGTGGGAGTGGGGTGGGTGCCAGGAGGGTCCAGTCGTACCTTTTGAGGAGGTACGACTGGATCTCTAGGGTATCTCTATATCCATTGGGGGAGGTTGCTTTGAGGGGTCTGGAGCCGTCCAGGACGGCTGCTTTGATGCGTACGGTCTTCTCTTCAGACCCTCCATACCACACCGACCAACTCCCCTCGGTGGTTCACGATCTCGAGCCCTTCGGAATTCCGAGATCTCGAGTCCCAGCTGAATGGGCGCGTTTGCCTTCTGGTTTCGGTGTGGTGGAGACCCAGTTTGCTTCATCCAGACATGGCGTTTGGCGTCATGAAAGTCCAAGTTGGACTCATTTTACCTGGTTTACCGGTTTACCCCCTTGCTAGAGGTCCAGGTGGGGTAAAATGAGCCATTGGAAGTCCTGCGTCAGCAGGTGTGGGGGATATTCATCTTCTCCGATACCAGGTCCGATACCAGGTCCGACTGGAACTTCTGAGGATTTTTTTTCACGATGCAAGGGGATGTCTGACTGCAGTGATCCACATCTTAGACTCTAGCAGACTCGTGTGACTCGTAGGGAATGAGGGAATGAACCACCCCTGTAGGCCCTTCTGGATCCATTCCCATATTCCCTACTAAGCACCAGTCAGATAGGTGAAGAACCGCCTTTTAGGTTTCAAGAAACACCTGTTGGATGGTCACTGGTAGATGAAATTATCTCTGGCCCAAGCGTGCCAGGCGTGCCACGTGCTCGCGATGGGCTTCCCATCGGTAGATATCGGTAGTCTACAAAGTGTCAAGGCTGGAAGAGAGAGACCAACGACTGCAAAAGAAACTAAAAGGGTTCAGTTCAATAGATTCCTGATTCCTAACTCATCCTATCTATAACTCTATGTTGCTTTTTGCATCTCGTGATTGAGTATCTCAGACTCAGACTCAACGGGCAAAAAACACCCAACATCGACACATCGACATATACACGTATATCGACATGCCGTGCGGGCTGCAGTAGGATCTCCGCTGCCAGGTGATGATCCATTTCAGCCAGGATGTAGGCTGCGGAATCCTCGACGTCCGAAGGCGCCGTGGCGAACGAGGACACGTCCGCAACGTGGGGATGGGTCGTGGGCGAAACGCCCAGCTGACGAGCTGGGATAAGCGCGGGTTTGCATGGATTCCATGGTGACCAGTGGTTTCACATGGTTTCAAAAAAAGACGGCACAAGTTACCCTCAAGTTTTGGGTGGTGCTTTAGATGGATCCTCCATCCCCCATCTTTCTCAAAGACATCTATCTTGGTGGTGCCAGTGCCACTCCTTCCATGGCTCAGAGACTGGAACACTGCCCGCGAACTCCGCATGGCTTGGAGCTTGAACTCACCCCTTTGGGACTTGGTCTTCGTCTTCGGGTCTGGGCCAAGTCTGCAGGGTCCAACCCTGGTCTTCCGGATACGGATCCGGACATGTCTTCGGTCCGAGGCGGGGTGGCTTCTACTGCAAGGGTCGATGGGGTTGATAGTTTTGCTCCGTTCATGGCATTCCATCGCTATACTTACACCATCTGGCCCAAAGATGCTCAAAGTCAGCGTGCTCCTGAAAAGCACCACTCACAGATTCGCAAAACCGCACCACTCATCTCCTTTAGCCAACAAGTTCCCCACGTTCCCACGTTTGCCACCGCTGCGCTGCGTGAAACATCGCACCGTCCGTCGGCGAAGCTTGCGGGGTTCACTGGCCGGCCCAAGTGGCAGGGTCCATCTCATAGATGATGCTAGCTGAAGAGGCGCTGGACAACTGGGTGAAGATCTTCGCCGCCTGATGGTACTCCATCCTGGATCAGTGGATCGTCAGCAGGTAGGTCACAGGTTGGGAAGGCGAACAAAGCATGCTCCCCTCCACACCAACTTGCGATCGAGTCTGAAGGCGCCTCGCAGCCCATCCTCTGGTGGGGGTACTGGAGGTAAGAAGTGAGAATGTGAACATGCGAAGTAGCCAGAACTATACATATCAGAGACAAAATAATCCATCTTGTTGGTATCTCCACGGAAAGAATCCCTAAAAAGGACCCCTACAGCCTACAAGTCCAAAGACCTAGTAAAACCCGGGTCTTTACCTCCTTGAGTAGTGTTCTTAACCACTCCAGTAAACAAAATGAGGATTCATTGACTTGTAGGGAACCTGAATTATTCCAGGCATCTCCGACTTGGTGCACCTAAAGCCACGAACGGAGGTGTCCCCTATGGAGAAAGAACCAAACCTTCCGTGGAGAAGTCAATTTTTGTTGGACACAAAGTAATTGTCTGTTGATAAATATATAACCCCCGCCATTCAGATTGGAACCTTTTCGTTTGGAATTTGATTCATCAAGAGACTACATTAAGTGGATGTAAATGGTCATGTCGTTTGCTTGCTATAGATATAACTGCCTATATATATATATATGGTGAGAGTGTAAACATCAAAGGATGTCAGAATGGATTGGAAAGCAACTCGTATGCAGTTGTCCTCCCGCCTTCTCATGCCCGTTGCTTGTAGTAACATTGTCAAGATCAACATTCTAAGGACACCGCACATTATACATTCTAAGAATGTGATGACCATACCCTAAGCTACTATATTTATTGACATAATAAGGGCCTATATATGGCTCCAAGTGTCCTCAGGTGGTGGCCCGGCCCCACCCCCTAAACGCATCTTCTGACGTTCTGGGGGAAGGTGGGAGTCCAGTGGGAGCGCTGTTGGGATTCCGGCCAACCCACCGGGTCCAGCAGCAGCTTCGAACCAAAACCACTATCCCTCCTTTGTGGATCCGTCGACTCGTACCGAACCGACATCAGTTACATCCTCCGACCCCGTCCTCACCTTCCGAGAGGGCATTTGGATCACTATAGGGATCGACTACCTGGGTCTTCAAAGGGATGTCCCATCTACAAGTACTTTGTGCATAAGGATGTGTAAGGGTATTCCTGCCAGGACACCCCGTGAGGAAGGTTCTGGTAGCAAGTGGTTACGGAACTCGCTGTAGTTCCGAACGGTTCCTGGTTTAAACAAAATATATATATGGAAAGGGATACCCCTGGTGAGCCTCAGTAGTAATAAACATGATGTGTTACATATAATCTCTGCCTCTGCTTTCATGCGACTTTGGTGTTTCCAACGCCATCAATTTTCACATGTCCCCCAGCAAGTCCAGTGACCCCAATACAGTAGTCTTAGAGGAACTGTCCCCAGTTCCACTAAAACCATCTGATTCCTACGAAATATCAGTACATACCCCCTGAATTCCACTGGGCATGTCACAGAAATGACATGCTATACGTCAGTTCCTGACCTCCACCCCCCAAGTCCACGTCCCAAGTGTCTCGGGTAAAATCTGCTCTGAACCACAAGTCATCTCTTCAACCACCTGCGCGGCCTCGCTGAGGTCCTGCAAGAACGCCAGAACGGTGCCACTTCTGGGAGACACACTGGTCCCACAGCTAGCTGCACTCCACTGGTCCAACAAGGAAGACACACCCAATGAACTGGTTTCAAGTCGGGTGCAGGCAGGAATTGAAGCTTCTGAACTTCGAACCAAGCCCGGTCGCGCCGGTCGCCCTCTGCTCTTCCTATTCCTTCCCCTCTGCTCGTCCGGGCGAAGTTTCGAGAAACACCGAAGGGTGCGAAATCGGATGGGTGCATGTGCTCGGGGCCATGGCACTAACGGGACTAACTGATGGACACTTACTTAGAGCCCAAATATTGGTCAAACATGAACAAATGCACACTTCCCAAACTGTAGACTTTCTTAGAACCTTTAAGCCTTGAGTTGCGGGTGTTGCAGGGGTAAGCGGGTGGAGCGGCTGGAGCGGCTAGAGGCACTAGAGCGGCTGGAGCGGCTAGAACTGGTGGAGCGGAAGACGCCAAGTCCTGGGTATTCCCCAAGACCTGGCGTATGTATATAGTAGTATCAGGTATTCACCAAGACCTGGTCTATGATGGCTGGCTGGCTGGCTGGCTGGATGGACGGATGGATGGATGGATGTGTTCTTTTGTTCCAGGCCCCTCAAGTGCTCTCACTAACCTGAACAAGTTACTTACGGAAACCAGCATCAATCGAGCTTGTACCTTGGGAATGAGTCTTCCAATCCAAGCTTCCATCTTGGCTAGCACCCCAGCAGCACTCTCAAGCCCCATTTCGTGCCTGTCGCGGCTGGCCAGCTTGGGCTGAGAATTCACAGAGTTTGGTCTAGCGTCTAGCTCTGACCCTTCTTCCTTAGCGATCCACATACCTTCTGAGGGGCCCCTCCCGCCCAGTTGTTTCGCTCACTTCGCTATCTGGATCCCTATACCATCTACAGCCTATATGGGGGATCGAACAAAAATGAACCATCCAGTGGTGAGGGTGGCACCTGGAGTGGATTCGAGGACTCACCGCCTGTCACACGTGGCACTCTCGGTCCGGTTCCAGCTGGGTTCCCAGCGACAGCTAAAATAGCCAACCACACACGTTAGATCAACTGCTTCTCTGTACAAATCACAGTCATCAACCTCTGCATTAGAAGCTAGCTGTCCAGGTTGGCGAGAAGTTCCGGGCAAAAATATCAACTCCAAGAGACTTGATACAGGAAACAGCAGCGCTAGGAAACAGCAGTTCTTCTCAAAGGGTGCGACCCTGGGAACTCTCTGTTTTGTTCCGAAGTCCCACCGATAGCCCTCATTCCTTCACCACTCGTGATTTCTGCGCTCCAAGCGACAAGATGCCCCCCAGCGTCCTCGTACTCCAGATACTCCATCACTGCCTTGAAATACTCACTGTTTGTCTATAGAAATATAGCTGATACAGCACTGATGCACGATAAGATATGTGGAGCACGATGATGGTGGCTATACTTGGATGGGTGACGTTCGATGGGCTGTTCAGCCGCTGTTCAGTCAACCCGGACCTTCGTCCCCCAGTGGGTTTTCTGAATGTTCTTCATCTTCTTAGAGGCGAAAGTAAAGAAGAACACACCCCATCACCCAAACAGGAGGGTCGCAGGAGGGGCCTTGAGTGGAATGGCCCCAAATGTGTGTCTTTTAGGTCCATCTGAATGTGAATTTTGCCATGAAGGGATCTCACCAAAATTAGATATCACTTGGGTCTATCCTAGTACCAAAGCCTCAGTAGATGATGCTTCAGGAAAGGTGTGAACCGCGATGGCGATGGTTCTGGCTGACTTACGGGTCGGTCAGTGCGGACCAATCCAACCAATTCTCCCAAAACCTCAAGAGTTCGGTGCACCTTGGGGGGGGTTGTCTGTTCAGGTCGGGTACGGGATCGACCTGTCGAGCGTCGACGAACTCGTCGTCCTCTTGGTGGGGCTCTACACGTGATGACGAACATCAGCTGTTAGTCTTTGGTGGGGACACATGGAGGGGATCCAACAGTCCACCACTTCTTAGTGGGTCCCGTGTGCTTCAGTCTCCCTGGGGGGTCCCTGGGGGACTTGCTCTTGGAGGTCGACCTCAGTCCTAAATCGGTGGACGTCGGGACGTCGGGACCTGCCCCCAATCGTAGCCCAACGGAGGTAGGCCAGTAGCCCAACAGAGTTCTGGTTCTTTTCTGCCATGTTTTTTGCCAACGTCCAGCGACCTCTTTGAGGACCCAAGCGGCTGCCGGTGCATCCATCTCTTCCACCACTTTGGCCGCCTCACGGTAGCTCATCTGCCCCAGGATGCCCGCGGAATCCTGGCGAAGTGAGTCTTATGCCCCCAGAAAACCACCTGACTGCAACCCTAGGGTCTTTGTACCTCAGCGGTACCGGTAGCTGTCTCCATGTCTCCATCCTCACCGGTACAACGGCTGGGGCGTCGCTGACCCGGACCCGAAATCGGCCCGAAGAGCGGACCGGAGGACCGGAGGACCGGTACCGTGTTGGGTAGATGTTGGGATCGAAGAAGGAAACCACCACCTCCTGGGTCAAAGCTGGAGGAATACTCATGTTAGTTGTTTTTTGGCTCTAGAACCATATACATATACTAGATATACTAGATACATACGAGTCGGACCATTGTGATTCAATGACTTCAGCATTCCAATGCACACCATGTTTGGTATTCTTTGGTTTCCAATACACACCCAAGTACTAGGAGTCACATGTGGGCGCCCAGCTTCGCCACGGACCATCCAAATGAATGGGACGAGCCAGCTCGGAGCAGGGAGTCACAAACCCCTTCCGATCCTTCCGCTCTCCTTGACTGTTGAGCCAGTTCCCTGGACAATGAATAACCAAACATACACCAACATAACCAAACCACCAGTTCTGCCAATCAAACCTCGTGAAAGAGGTGTCTCCCCCAAACAGAAACACCAACCTGCAGCCAACCACAAAGAGGCTGATCAAACCCTGCCAAGGTGACGGTAGACACCCTTGTACACAAATGTAAGTGGTGATGTTGTTTGCTTGCTATACCCTATAGGGCTCCAACTGCCTCCTGGGGTGGGTTTAGGGCCTTTAGGGGGTCTAACAGGGTCTAACCACCGAACCTGAGGATATTTGGTTGGAGCTCCAGGGATAATAACTGCTTATGTGGTAGGTGACCCCTACCAGGTGGGTCAAAGCCCACATCTCCTGGGGGTCCTTCGACGCGCACGTGCCGCTCCTCGTAGTGCTCCACAGCTTCCAAGAGCGCCGCTGCAGTAGACGGTTCCATCAACGCCACCGCACGCGCGGAGGTCTCGTATTCCTTGGACGCGTGGACGTGAATGCCATCACATCTGGACTTTTTTGGAGGGGCGAAGAGGTATATTGGTTTAACAGGTATGTGTTTAAAGGAGGATTAAAAGGGTATTTTTGTTGACAGGAGGATTTGCAGTCCATCTGCCGATGATGTCAACTTCTTTGAGGTTTATGATGGTCTATGCACCATGTCAGCAACCAGAGGTTCCTCGAGTCAACGAAGAATTGTGATGGGAAGTTGTGCGATGGCATGCACTGGGTCAGAGGAGTCAATACTGGTCGGCTTGGAAAAATACATGAGGACCGGTCAACCCATAGGTCCTGCCAAGCTCCCAATGGTTGGAAAACATGGAGGTGCCAGCACCGTATACCTTTTGGGGGATAATAGAGGATTTGGACGGATTTGGATGGATTTGGTATACCCACATGAGGGTCTTCCCTCTACAAGTCAACCAACCAATGACTTCAAAGGCCAATCCCTGCCGCAAAAACGCTCTCCAACTCAGATCTGTCCCGAACCCAGGTGCCAGCTCACTGGCAATGCCCGCCGAAGCCTCCGGCTCCATTTCCGAGAACACCTCGCCGGAGATCGATGCTGCGGTGTGTCGACGGAACCATCGATGCTGTCTGAGCAAGCTAGAGAGGCTGAACAGCCCTAAGGCATCCTAAGGCCATTACAGGCTCGGTCTCTCCACCTCTCTTGGACGGTCTCAGAATGGATAACGCTTAAAACAGTCTGCAATCTGCAGTATTTCTTAACTTGCATCATCGAAAACCTCAAGAAGAGACACCTGTAGATCGAGTCATGAACCAGGAGTCACCAGACGGGGTGCCAAACTTGGAGGAAGTCGGGGTGCCCAGCTACTCCACTCATTTAGGGACTAAACACTAAACACCACCCCTGCGTGACTCCTGGAAGTTGTGATTTTTTCTGTTCGAAGTTCCATGTCAGGCTGATTTGGATCGACATAATTCCAGTGAGTGGATGCACCCCAGAACCGCTCCAAGCGAGTACTTGTTTCTTTTGATGTGTTCATTGTTTGTTGTTGTTGTTGTTGTTGTTGTTGTTGTTGTTGTTGTTTACTCTTTGTTTTAAACTTTTATTGGATTGCAAACTAGGGCTCGAAATAGCCTTTTAGGAAGATTCGTGGCCCCAGTGCTCTAGCAGCACGCTTTCAGCCATTCCGGCGACCTCGCCGTCGTGGCATCGGCGCCGGCGCTCACGGAGGAGCGCTGCAAGAGCTTTCATCAAGCTCCACCGACACAATCCACGGCTCAGGACCCAACAACTGAACAAACTCCAAAGGGCGAAACATTTGCTGGAGGAACGCCACACTCGTCCGGTCTACCAGATCAAGACGATGTCATGGAAGGCCAACGGCAAATGGTCCAAGGGAGCATGGCAGGATTGGGACACCAAGAAGCAGAAGAAAGAAAACAAGGAGAACAAGGCCAACAAGGGGCATGTGATGTACGCCTGGGACGGCAGGCGCATCAACCTCGACTCCGAGGATGGAAATGGCAAGTCCTCGTCGGCTGTCTCTTCCTCATCTACGGAAAGTCAGTTTCGCCTGGAAAACCAGAAGATCAAACAGGCTGTCCGGAAGATCATGGAATCGGAGGCACCTGGCGAAGAAGAAGTGGAAATTCTCAGGGAACTGGTCAAGCCAGACCCGAGAGACCAGCTCAAGGAGCGCCAGAAGCAGCTCAATCAAGAGAGGCGATCTCTCAACCGAGCTGCCAAGTTGAAAGAAGACATGACAGAGAAGGAGAATGGCTTTGGGGCATGGGTCGCCTCACAACGCAGAGGAATCGAACAAGAAGAGAAGCGCCACGCCTCCGAGATGGCAGAAATCAGGGTCGCCATTCGGGAAGCGGAGGAGAGAGAGAACAACGACAAGGATACGGCTCTCAAAGGGACAGACGAAAATATGAGCCCTCATGGAGCATCCAGAAGACCCTGTGAGGTTCAGAGGTGACCATCCAGACGCACCTTCGGTCTGGAACACACAAGCAGTTCGCTGGTGTCGGGACACGAATCTTTTCTGTTTGCTCACGCTCCAACAGGGCTTCTTCCATGCCAAAAGCCCGAAGCCGACAACCTTTTTGCTTTCAGGAATCCCCCAAACGACTGCACGCCACCTTGAAGTGGCCTACAGGACATCCGAGCTACCGCGAAGCGGTAGCATCGGTCTAGGCCCCAAGGGATGGAACACAAGCGGGCTGAAAGAATACACAGCCCAGCTTTGTGCGCTCATCGCTGCGCTGTTCCAAGAATGGATCAGTGCACATGCTCATTATCCGGTCCGGAGTTTTGATGAAGTGACTGATTGGGTCAGAGAGCTCATCGTCACGGAGGAGAACAGCCGCGATATCTTCGGACCGGATTTTGAGCCAGCTGCATGCCAATTAGAGAATTTGTAGCCAAGGCGCTGCGCTTTACGGCACCGTGCGCATGAAAGTGAAAGTGAAAGTGACTGCAAACTGCCTAGACCTGACATGCCTAGACCAGGTTGCCATGTCAGGTTCGCACCACTTCCACGGAGTTCTTGTCCAGTGGCACCAGGCCGGGACTTCGGCACAGCTTCGCTCCGCGCCTCCGCCGCGCACTCCTCCGTGAGCTTGTCCACGACCTGTGCCGACGTGTGGTAGCTGCTGGCGGCCGTCAGCACCCCCGCTGCAGCGTCGGCCTCCTGGGCGGGGGTTCGGCCGAGGGGCCTCCTTTGACCGAGTCGGGGCAACTTGGTCGATCGGGAAGTGGTTGCGTCTGATTCTTCCAAAAAGCAATGAGTTGTTAGGACAGTCCAAACAGTTTAATGTTCTAACATGATATGTTCTGGGAGTTGAATAGTGTTACAATTTATGTCATGCGCGTCATGCATATTTCAGCTATATACGTTCACACCTGTTCAAAGGGAACCAAGTGCATGGTCCCCAAAACTGGACCCAGTCAACCATCCAATCTGACCAAACCCAGCCCATCCATGTATATGGAAAAGCATGGAAAAGCTATATCACCCCAATGGATGGTCAACATTCCCCTGGATGGTCTGGAAAACATAGTTGGACTGTCTACCACGGAGCTTCAAACACCAAGAGGCCATCAACGAGACAACGCCTGCAGCAGCGCTCGGGTCCATCTCCGCCAGGAGGTTCGAGGCGATATCGAAATCCATCCTCAAATGAATGGATTGGCTTCAGGAAACATCAGGAAACATCAGGAAACCATGATTTTCGCACCTTCCAGAACCGTGGGTTTCCGACAAATATACCATGATATACGTCATACGTACCCCTCAAACCAATGCCTGGGAAAGAATCAACCCTTGTGGAATGGAACTCCTGGACAAACGGTTGATAACACAGCAAAAAAAGAATCCATGCACCAGCACCCGAGTCTACAGGTTTTGCTGTGGAGGTGTTTGAAGCTATAAGACATACAAAAGCTTTCTGGTAGTGGTGACCTGTTTGGAGGGTGGCATGTGCGACTTGAGTTGAGATGTTGAGAGAATGGGTGACTTTGGTGGTTCAATTGCGTTCCTACGAAGTGAGAACACCTTTGGCGGCCGCTCCACAGACCATCAGAAGCGCCCTAGTCATCCAACATGATGTTGACCACTGACTGCTGACCACTGGTTATGGGTCTGGCACAAGGTTCCAAAACATTGACATGTATATAAGTCAAAAAGAGTCAATCTCAGGAATCAGGACCCCAACAGGCTGTTTTGGGACCCGACACCAGGTGCTAAAAGCATCGAACTTGTCACCGGGAAACACCTCTGAATTGGGTGCAGGTAAGTGCAGGTAGAGTTAGTCTCTCTAGTGGCAACATGACCATCATTCAACCCTACCAATCCCACGCCGCATGGCCATGCCGCATGGCGCTGTCCCAGGTCCCGCCAAGCATCTCATGCAAGCTGGCGGCGGAGGCTTCAAACTCCATCTCCTCCGGTCAAAGATCAACGAATTGGGACACTTCAGGACATTGAGGGCGGAACACTTCACTTCAGATCTTCCACAAATTATATAGACGTAAAGTCTTCCATCACTATATATGACTATAATATATAGAATATTCTAAAATGGTCTAAAGATTTTAAAGTGTCACAACTGTCCCCTCAAAAGGCAAGACATGTTGCCTTTCGAAGATCTGAATTTTCCGGATCGATCCGGATCTCATTCCGAGCCGCTGTCTTTAGACGATGTTTGACGCACTTCCGACCCGCAAGATCCCAAGCATGCTAAACTGACAAGTAACAGCCCCACCCTCCACAAGCCACCAAGCACAACTAAGAGTTCCATCTATTGCAGAGTTACTCTTGAGTCTTGAGACATCTTGAGAATTCTCATGACCCGTTGCCATGTCCGATCGTCAGAACAAACCCAACACATACCAGTATGCGAACACCCACTCAAGTCCAAGTCCCAGAAAAGGTGTTCGCTCTTCAACACACCCCCAAATCATCCCTCCTCACAGAAGGACCACCGGATCCTCCGTGACTCGTTCGGCGCGTGCCCGTGCCGTGTTCCCCCGCGCCGTGACGATGGCGGCCGCCACCGAAGGCTCCAAGTGCGCGAGGATCTTCCCGCTTTGCTCCGCCTGGCATATGAACGAGTGGAGCGCCCCAAAGGTTGCGCTTCTGGACCATGGACCCTGAGCGGCACCCCGAGTCAAGACCTCTGGAGGGGGTCCGGACCCGACCCAACTGGTGGGGTTGGAGGGACCGATCAGGTTGGCCTGCGACCGGGAGGAGTTTCGTACACCATGTGACAGGTCTCTCAGCACCCCACTCGGTCTCCCGAGGGTGACAAAGAGCCTTGGGAAGGTCAGAATGGCTTGGTGACTTGTAGAGTTGGGTGTGGGTATGTCGAAAATCAGCGCTGACATATGCTATAGGCTTTCAACAGCACCTCAACGGCCCCTTCCCCAATAGACCAATCTAACACGAGTGGTGGATCTCCATTGAGCACCCCTTTCACAGGTCCAGGTACATGATCAACATACATAAACCACACTCTTGTGCAACTGAAACTTGACCATGGGGGTTTGGTTGGCCCAGCACCAGAAATTAAACAAACACTCTTGGAAGCAATCCAACGAGCTAAATGTTTAAGTAGGGTAAACAAGTTGTGTTTTGTGTTTTGATCGATTGTTGGGATGCAATCAAAAACACATCGCATTTACACCCAAACTTGTGGGCCACCATCCTCCACACTAAGTGACTATATAGCCCCCGCCACCTCACCCACCCCACCGCCACGGAAAGGTTGGCAGGACCCACCTCCAACTGCTCCAGAACGAAGGCCGCACCATCGTCGTAGTCCATCACCGCCACGACCTCGGCAGCCGCTGAGGAATCCATCTCGGCCAGGATGTAGGCGGCAGCTTCTGGCCTTGACTTGGACAAAAACTGAACACTAAATCATTGGACTGAAACCAGCACCACGGATTCCGGGTGTCCATTGATAGCCCCAAAAAGAGGTCAAGTGGTGTCCATTAATCACCCTAATCACCCCTTGGGGGTCCAGGAAAATGTTGTTTCTCCCAGCTTCTGGCCTTGACTTCTGTGGGATCATGAGCAAAGGCCCGGAAGGACCCTTTGGTTGACCACCGATCGATACTTGTTCATGGTCCTTCTCTTTCAGGGTACCGGGGTGTTGGTGGTCACCAAAAATGAACAAAACATAACAAATCTAGTAAGGAGGTCAAGCAACCAGAGTTTTTGGGTTCCAGGTTTTGACCCACAGCCATATGCCAAATGTCGAGCCGAATCTTCATCTTGACCTCCAACAACGACTGGCTTCTCAGGACCTCTGTCAGGTCTTCTTTTCTGCCTGACCTGGGGCCAGAATTACAGCACAATAAAGCAAACCATATATACCATCGTATACCAGTACCTTCCAACAGGTTTCTTTTTGGAACCCCTTAGTCCATGGTCGACCGGTTCATGACACCCAGGGACTCCATCTCTTGAACCACAGATGCCGCGGCGTCCTGTTCCATCTCCTCGGGAGCTGGTGCGGCAAGCGCAAGGCTTGGTGAGCAAACTATAGTGGCCGGGGCATGGCAAACTGCATTGTTTGTGGTTATATTTTGTTTGAGCGAAAGGGGCTGGTCGTTTGGTTCAATGGGTTGACTTGGGAAGAGAGAAGGACATGACATGACCCTCGCAAAGTAATATACCTGGGGTCTCAGTTCGTACCTCCAAAAATGGATACAGTCGTAAGGTTTTTTATTTAATGGGTCTTGTCTCATGTTCGAAGGTACTCTGTCAGTCGGTCCAGGTGAGTCAAATGAAATCGCACATGGCATGAAGAGGTTTTACATTCCCAGAAAAGGCCACGTGGTCCTGGCCGCAGATGCGAACAAAAACGCGGTGAGCTTTGAGCTTTCCAATTTCCAACCGAACAAATATATAATGAGGCCAACGTGCTATATAGAAGTAGAGGATATAGCCAAGGGAGAGATCTTGCTCAACATGTGCAAAGGGTGTCAATCGAAGTAACACAGTTGTGTGTGTGTTTGTTCTCTCCGTCAAAGGTCGAAGACAGTCCAAAAGCCGGACACAGCTTCTTGGTGAAACAACATCTTCCAAAGGCCTTGGCATGAAGACATCATGCTGTTAAACCGGCTTGATCAGGACCAAAGAGAAAGAGATTTGTTGGTCATTATGTTTTTTATTATTGTATGGTCGGACAATGGTCTGGCCAAGTCCACCCACACCTAACTGTGTAGCCAGCCATAAAGCATCACGACGGCTCGTAGAGAAAGAGCCTGCCACGGGCCTTTGGCCTCAGGCGAGGCTTTGGCCTTCTCCGAGGCTTTTCCAGGCGGAACGTTGCCGGTGGGCGGGGCCGTCTGAGCGCTCTCAGGAAGCGACGCGCAATCGCGTCCGCTGCAGCCTGGCCGGGTTTCAAATCACGTCGCGTTTATTGCACGTTTCCCTTCGGCCGTCAGCCGCCGTGCCTCCGGACCAACATCAAATCAACGCGTTGATTCGGCCGGCTTGGTTTTTCAACAATTTGTTGCAATAATGCAATGAGCTCACAAGCTTAATTTGCCAGGCCTTGGCCTTGAGACGCACTGGTGCGACCTCCCTCCTCTGTCCGCCTCCTTTCGCACCAACACCTGCAACCACAGGTGGCATTGCGCCTGCGGGGCCTCTTTGGGGCGGGGAGCAACCCCCTTGAATATCAGGCCTTGGCCGCTCGCTCCTTGGCTCGCGGCCTCGCCTCGGGCGGCTCGGCCCTCAGCTTGGCCCGCGGCCGTAGCGGCTCCTGCGGCAGTGCAATCTTGTCACCCTCCCACAGGAAATTATGTCTGAATGTGAATTTTTATCCAATGTTGCTAACCCCTGAAACATCACCACACAGCAAGCCAAGAAGATACAGGACAAAGTGCAATGACCTGTATGTAAATTAAATCCTAACCCCCACCTCCAGGAATATGGAGAAACAACTTTTCAACAATGACATTTTTCTCCTGCCCCCTAACACCCCTCACCTCAAAAACAACTTCCACATGCTGTGACAACAAGAGACGGTGAACTGATGCGGAATGCTGCGTGAAGCAACCGCGGCGCGAAAACCTAAAAAAAAATATGACCCTTTTGGGGGGGGCGCTACAGGCATTCATCACAAGCCTACCCCTAGCAAGTGTGGATTTTGTCCAGAGGTGTCATCCTTGCCCAAAAAATCATTTCATTGGACAGCCCTAGAAAATGGACCAAAATAGTTTCAGCTTAGATTTTCTGACTTTGTGGTGTGAGTTGAGTCTTTGGGGCTGAGTCTGGTCTTTGGGGATGAGTCTGGATGGGAACGAGTTGTGTATGGAATAGTGGAGATATTTTTCCGAGGAGTCAGCCTGGAACAAACATATGGCAGTGAAAATGGTCGGCCCAAAGGACAAACTTTCTGTCATATCAGTTTTCACCAATTGCGATGTGAGTCGAGTCTTTGGATCTAAACCTGGGTGTGGGGGGGTTGCATGTGGAATGGTTTGGATTTTTGTCCAAAGGTGAAAGCTGTGGCGAAGGAAATTGCCGGGAGTCCTCCTTGCACAAAGTTAATGTCATTGGACTTGGTCAGACCTAGAAAATGGACAAAGCTAGTTTCGCCTTAGATTTTCGGACTTTGTGATGTGAGTCGAGTCTTTGGGCTGAGTCCGGTCTTTGGGGGTGAGACTGGATGGGGGAGTTGTGTATGGAATAGTGGAAATATTTTTTCCAGAGGAGTCACCCTGGAACAAACATACGTCAGTGAACATGGCCTGCCCCAAACGATGCAATTTCTGTCACATCAATTTTTCACCAACTGTGATGTGAGTCGGGTCTTTGGACCTAAATCTGGGTTTTTGGATTGCATGTGGAATGGTGTGGATGTTTGTCCAGGTGCACCATCCTTGCAGATGGTGAAAGTCATTGGACTTGGTGACTTGGTCAGCTCTAATGGACAAACATAGAATCACCTTGGATTTTCAGGTTTTGAGGTGAGCCCAGTCTTTGGGGATGAGTCGTGGGTGTGGGTTGGAACGGTGTGGCATTTTTGTCCTCAACTGTCGGCTTTGAATATGGGTAATGATGGCAATGCAACCTAGTATGGTCAACCCTCAAGGACATAAATGCTGTGTATTTTGTATTTTGGTTATCATTTTCCTATTTTCGCAAAATCCTGGGAGGCAAGCAACTGGTGAGAGCACATGGTCGTAGTGTGCTGATTCGTGCTTCCACTCTTCTCCTTTCCCTCTCTCCTTCTTCTTCTTCTTTTTCTTCTTCTTCTTCGTCAGTCCTTAGTCCCAAAATGTTTGCAATTTCTCAAACATCTCTCATTGTAGATAAATATTAGAGGGAAGAAAAGGGATGATGATGGTCACTTCAAAAAAAACTAGCATGGTTTTGGGTCATGTATTCACTCAGGACTTTTCCTGACCCCCTACCTGCAGGAACATAGAGAAACAACTCTTTAACAATGACATTTTTCTCCTTTTCATTCAATAGAAATTAAATCCTAGGTCCTAGCCCCCACGTCAAGATTTCTCTCCTGGGTGTGCAGATTTCAGATCCTATATGCCCTGAAAGCAACATTTTTTCAATTTTGACATTTCAAAAAGCGTATTGGGCCCCCAGGATTTAGTTTGTGTAGTACAAAGTGTGGAGCGCAATGGAATTTCTGGCTGCAAAGAATCGTCCTCTTCGCTGCTGTCGTGGACGACCACGACTGCCCCGCTTGTAGAGCTCACAGTTTTGAGCTTCAGGCTGCGGTTGTCAAGCTAAGCTTCATTGCTTCATACAGCTAAGCTTTGCCCAAGCTTGCTTCATACGGCTTTTGTTGCGCAAGCGACTTCTGGTAAGCAAGCTTCTATTGTTTTTGTTCGCTCTTTGCTGGGTGTCCCTTTCCTGAACGCGCTCCTCAATTCAATTTGCGGCCTCAAACAAGTTTTTCGATCTGCCTTCCAGATTCCGTTTATATTTTCAGCTGAGCTTGCAACTTGGGATCGACGGTGCTATAGCGTGAACCGAAATTTGGTTTGCACACCACGGGGCAGCCCGCTCCGCTGCGCTACCCCCCGCCCCCTCTCAAACAAGTACCAACCCCACCTGTTGAGCTTTCCTTGTGTAAATTGCCACAGGGGCTTTCAATGCACGCCAAAATATCAAGTGTTTCAATTGACTATACACAGGCACTCTTCTTACACAAGCGTTGTACTCATTGTACTGCATTGTAGTGACAGCAAGCGGCGGCAAAAGAATTCAAACTCGTCCTACAAGCTATACGGCCTTCGACCTTAGCGAGCTGCCCTTAGCGATTTGGAGCAGATTAATATTGCTTTGTTGATAAATTTTGCACCCCGCAAGAAGCACCACTTCTTCAATAGAGTTGAAGGCCAAAGAAAGAAGGAGACACAGAAATTGTTGTTAGCATCTTCTCTAGTTGAGTCTATCAGTGAAGAATGAAAGTGCAGATTTCGTGGCAGGCGCAGCACTTTGGACATGGCGGTGATCTTCGAGGTGCTCTGATTTCGTGACAGGTGTAGTGAATCGTGACTTTTGGACATGTGGCTCGTTTGCAGATTTCGTGGCAGGCACAACACTTCGTGAACATCAAAGTGCAGAATTCGTAGCAGGCGCAGCACTTTGTGAACCTCAAAGTGCTGATTTCGTGGCAGGCACAGCACTTTGTGCTCTCACTCTCACTCACTCACTCACCCACCCACTCACTCACTCACACTCCCACCCACACTCACACTCTCACTCTCACTCACATCACACTCTCACTCTCACTCACTCTCACTCTCACTTTCACTCACTCTCACTCACTCTCACTCACCCACTCTCTCTCACTCACTCTCTCGCTCTCACTCACCCACTCTCACTCTCACTCACTCTCTCACTCTCACGCACTCTCTCACTCTCACTCACCCTCACTCACTCTCACTCACTCTCACTCACCCACTCTCACTCTCACTCTCACTCACATTAGATCTCTAGACTTTCTGCTACTACACCCCTAGACCTCACACTCACACACACTGTTTGGGGTATCTTGCCGGGGTCATTGTTCTGTTTATATAAATTCAAATCTTCACCCCATCTCCATCCAGTGAAAGGCAGCCATCTCCATCTCGCTTCCCAGTCTCCGTCAAGATTTTCGCGGCATCACCGTACTCCATCTCCGCTGCAATGAGTGCCGCGGCATCGGGGACCATCAAGGAGAGGAGAGCCGCGCTCTGGTCGCTGCTCATGTCCTGGGTTAGAGTGTGGGAATAAACACACATTGCCTATTGCTTCAAGAAACGGGTTATTAAATTAGGGGTAAGTCTGTGATCGGATGTACCAAAAAGAACAACATGATTCAGTGCAAAGAACAACATGAGCTCAGCGTGCCTACGATCAGGTGCCCTTCCCTCACAGGGTCCTATGGCCAGCACGTTTGCGCAAGTGAAAAAGAATCTCATCCGACTCATCCCCCAGTCACACACATCAAGAAAAGAGAGGAATCATTGATTTTAGAGAACCCGTAATTTAGGGACCTTCTATAGTGGATCTTTCAGTCTTGATCGACTTCTCGTGTCTCGAAAAAATTCAACAAAAAAACATGGATGTCCTACTTCAAAGCCCAGGAACTGCCAGGATCCCCAGCGCAGCCGAGGTCTCCATGTCCTGGGCAGAAAAGACCGACCCGCCGAGTGCGAAGAACAGCATCTGTCAGCATCCGACTGTACATGTCTGCTAAATGGAGGCTTTTGTAGAAATACATGTTGCAGGTGGTGACCTGTTGGAGGGTCCTAGTGAGGGATGCGTTTCAGGGTGTTTTTTCTGCGGCTTGAGCATCTTGGATTGGCTGCTCTAGCTGGGAACAAAAAAAGCACATTATAGAAACATATTCCACAGTTTCAAAGATTAACCCAGATTCGGACAATAAACATTCACCTGAAAAGCGTACACGCAAGGCATGATGCACAGGGACAGCTCATGACAACCAGGTGGTGCTGGGAACCCTCCGATCTGGTGACTAAGTGGAAAATGTCATGAAGGAGAAGGACTTTCAAACCATCTAAGATCAGAATCATGTTTGTTTTTTTTTCAGGGTCAATATGTTCACATGGAAGATATAGCATGATATAGCTATATGTTAAAGTCTGGTCTTGATCCTCAAAAAGCTTTTCCTCCCTGGAAGACCCATGACCACCAGCGGCGCTGCCACCATGCGTCATCCAGGATGTATGCGGCGTTCTGTTGCTCCATCTCAAGCAGGATGGGGGCCGCTTGATCTGCATCCAGCTCTGCCAGCACATAGCCGGCGCCCACATAAGCCATCTCCTGCCAGTGGTGGTGGTGGAGCAAAGTAGAGTGGAACTGCTTATATGGTATTCTGGAAGACTTCCTTGGGTTGGGTTGTTGGGTTGCTTAGGTTGGGTGTGGGTCATCAACTGGCTTGGATCGATTGGTGTCTTCGGATGTATATAGTCATCTGGACATATCTGGATGATCACGCCTCTGCCGAGCCGCAACACATGACCTCCTGCAAATGTTGAAGACACAACAAGACATTACCCTAGGGCTCCAACATGCTCCAACCATCTCCTCAGGTAAGGTGGTTAGACCATGTTAGACCCTCAAAATTCACCCTAAGCACCTGCTCAGGAGGCAGTTGGAGCCCTAGGGTTAATGACATATCGTCACATGACAGTGGTTGACATGTAAAACGCCCTGATGGAGTGAACACACCAAGCACCCACCCCCGATGGTGTCTAGTCTGTCATAGTCTGTCTATACTAGCACCATCTAGCACCAATAGGAAAAATCCATGGAACACCACAAACTGGCATACATTGCTTGCCTGTGTTCAGTGTCGAGCTCAGGGAACCACGCCGCAGCTCTTTTTGAAACCCAGTTGGCGCAAACCGTGTGCCAGAGAGATTAAGGGCAGGAGGACTCTAGAGTTTCAGATTTGTTGGTGTTGCTTAGGAAAAGAATACATCGCTTGCCAAACCGAGCGGTGTTGCACGCATGCTCCATCTTTCGCTCTCTTCCGACATGAGAGTCGTCGCTGTCTCTGGTCTTCCCACCCGTTCCGGTCCCGAGTTCCGCAGCGGCGTTCCGAGAAGGGAAGGGAACTGAGACCCGAAGCAGTCGATTCATGAGTCAAGAACCAGGCGATAGAGAAAGATTGAGAAAAACAGGTCATATATAAATATGGTCTCCCTCAGAAACCTTCAACCCCAAACCCCCAGTGTCACGGTTTCACCGTTGCCGAGCCCCGCGGGCTCGCCAGCCCCGCGGGGCTTTTGCCCCGTCACGCAAAAAACACACCGAGCCACACTCAGAAGGTTTGCTGCCACCTCGACATCCATCTCTTGGACCACCTGGAGCGGTGTTTTCTCGCGATGCACCGGGAGAGGTGAAAGCACAGCTGCGGACGTGGTCCAGTCCGAACCGGTCCAATTCATGCGGTGCGGTCCGTGGTCCGTGGTGCGCGGCAGGGTCGGTTTTTCGGACCTTTTGGTTGGATCCTCCTTTTTGGAGGGGGCATGGTTTAGCCTTGGCATAGCGGCCAAGGAGAAGGGTTCGAAGATCCGAGATCTACTCGAGATGCAAGCTCAAAACCCACCGGAAAATCCTTCAGCCCATCCATTGCGACAAAACCCCTCTAAAAAATCCAAACGCGCCATCCGTCATGGCATGAAGCTGTGAAGATGAAGCCCAGCAACCGATTTCCGCAGTTTCAACACCGATTCCAGTCTCAAAAATCACCAACGGGTGCGAACTCGCAAATAGAAGCAACGGGCAATGAGGGTGGCTGGATCATGCTGGATCCTGTTCAGTATCTATGGCAAGGGGTCATTCCCTTATGATCAAATATTATATATAATTATCTACTATGCACCAGTAAGATGATTACTCTGCCTCACTCAGTCACTCAGGTGAAGGATTAACGCTTCTTCATCTTCCTCTTCCTCTTCCTCTTCTTCTTCCAGCTGAATGAGACCATCTGATGGTCTCCTTTTCGGTGCCTGCACGGGGGCCCATCACTTCGTTGAAAGAACTCTCACCCACACTTGCTCTGCCGGGCATGGCAACATCGCCTCGACCCTGTGCAATAGGTATGAGGATGGCCATGGGTTTCAGGCAGCCAAGAGGCCCAGGCGGCAGTTGCGGCCCGGAGTTCTGCCAAGAGCTCGGCTGCCCCGTCCATGGCCTGGAGCCGATGGGTCATGAGAGCCGACGAGTCCGACGATCGAACTAACAAAGGTTGAAAGAGATCCTAGTGAAGACGATTCCATAGGTATACCCCAGATAAAAAGGGTCCATGTTCCCTTGGGCTCTAAGTACCTTCTCAGAAGGTATTTGGACCCTCTAAACCCTTCCCAAACACCTTCTAAGAAGGTACAACTGGAGGTTTAGGGGTTTAAAAGGTCAGTAAAAAACCACTCTCTCTTGGAAGAGCCATCTGGACCCGTCGACGGACTTCGAACGTCGGTCCAAGACCTGAGGAACCCCATTGGCTCCCGCGTCGACTGGGCAAGTCGACACGGGGCGTTTCTCCGTTCAGCAAAGTTCCATGCTTCCCAAAATGGGATGAAGACACCATGTAGTCGTAGCCTGGGTCCAAACGTAGCTTCTGAATAATCAGACTCCTGACTCCGGGGTTCAATTTGTAAAGATCTTGCAATTCCCTAGGGCCCTAGGGATTCTGTCGTATACCGAACCTCAGGCTCACTACGACTGGACCCTCCTGGCAGCTACATTTCGAACACATCAAGGTACCTGAGAAGGTACGACTGGATCCCTGGGGGTCCAAACTATAGAAACCAACCCTAGATTCCCTAGATCCCTTGGAAACTCAGGTGAATCAAGAAAGACGTCTGCGACGTGCTTGTACTTTACAACGCAGTACCCAACTCCCCCATGTCCTAAAAGTGCCGAAAACATCCGAAAACCATGTCTTTGCCAGAAAACACAAAAGAGCTACAGTGGAAGGAATGCCAGCCAGCGCCTGCCTTTGACTCTTAATCCCATGCCCAGATCTGGTAATAATTACGAACACCCAACCAACCTGTCTGCAGGCTTTTCACCCCACAACTGGGCAGAAACATCACCATAGCCCTGGCACCAGTTCTGAAAGAACAAATTCTTCCCACCAAGCTTTCCAGCCACCCCTGGCAAATCGCTCTGACCACCACGGCTGAGCCACCGTGAGGATCTCCGCCGCCCGAGCATGAGCGTCGTTGTCCACCATCTTCGACAAGATCTGCGATGCCACCGAGCTCTTCATTTCGCCCAAGGTTTCTGCCGCGGAAGGAACCTGCTGACCATGGAAAGGGCTCGGCGGTCTGGAACCAAATGCATTTCTGGGTTGAGTGAATGATATAAGTGCTATACCCAAATCTATAAAGATTCGAATGGTTCGTCCAATTTAAGAACTGTGTTTTTTTCTTGGGGTGGTGAGCATGAGGTTTGATGGTTAAGACCGGTGTTATTTTGTTTAATCATGTTAAATCTGTTTGTTTGATGTCTTCCTCCAGACTGCTGCTAGGTTTCTGTTACGCCTGGACCAACAGACCAGTTGGAAACGCCATCACGCTTTCTTCTTCCTCCGAAGAAGCATCTGGGAAGCACCGGTGTGGAAACAGAAGCCGGAGAAATCAAGTCCAAGACCGGTGCGTTCAGGGATTCACCCTTAACCGGCGAAAACCTCATCCTAAGAGAAAACCAAGCAAAAGGATGCAAAAGGTACAAGTACCAGCTGCCAATGGACAACCCTACACTGCTTGTAGGACACCATTGGACACCCATTGGAAGCGCTAGGTATGTCTTATGTGGGCCAAGACTCTCTCATGTCGCGTCTGAGTGTGATCGTCTCGACCAGAAAAGGGTGAGCCCTGTGGCGTTTTGGGCTTGCCCTGGAACAATAGGATGTTCACCATGGAAATAATTAGAAGGGCATGGTGGAAAAACAACATCCTCTGACTCAATCCGTCCAGTGCTCCAGAATGACCACTAGTGACTGGTGCACATCGCCCGCCCACGGGACCGATCAGTGCACTCCTCCATTTTCTCCACAATGCTCGCCGCCATGGGCGGCTTGATCGCCGCTAGGCCCGCCGCCGCCATGGCCGTCGTCGACTCGAAGCAGGGTGTTCGTTCGGGGCGAAGCAAGCGCGGTCGTTCGAGTCATTTCGGGGAATGGCCTTAATGTTTGATGTGCATGGCCCACAGAATTTCTGTATATAATATATGCCATTCTACGCATCTAGCCGCTATATTGTTTGTTTTATGCTCAAAGGTGCGTAACAGCGTAGCATCTTCAACATAGGGGGCACGAAACCTTGGAGGTTACCAGTAGGTGCACCCAAACCTTCAAGAAGAAGAAGAAGGTGCTGTTGGGTCGTGCTCACTGGTGGACCAGGTGGGGTTTGGCACCTCGTGACACCCGAATCCACATGCTGTGAAGCTCCTGGTAGAGAGATCTTGATGTGTTTGTTTGCTCAAAGTCATTCAACCCCCAAGCTGAAACTGGAGGCACAAGCGTCTTGCACGTGTTCATCTGCGCATCGCCAAGCTGTATTGCACTATGTGAACCAAGGAATACAGCTTCTGTGCATGATTCCAAGACGGTCAGGTTCTAGAGTTCAGCACTGAGATAGGGAGAGCACACACACAAAAATGAAAAAGTAACCTGGAGCCCAGTCGGGGTGGTTCATGGACACCCCGAATCACTCTTTATAAGGGGCTATTCATATAACACGACCTCGGTGAGTGCTGGAAGAAGAAGAAGTCACAATTCGGGGCCCCTTGGCCTTTTTTCTGGGTTGACGTCTTTTCCAGACTCCCAGCTTCGGACCGGGTTTTGGACACTCCCAGCAATCTAAAATGATTCTTTCACCCAAATAACGCATATAAATGCATATAATAGATCTTATAATGTGTTTCTGAACAAAATCACATCGCAGGGTCCAGAATGAAACGTCCACCTTCCATCACCTGAAATCAGCCTTCGGGCCCTGCCCCCGAAGGACCGGGGGTGGTGCCTGAACTTCAGACTGGACAAGTGCTAGCAAAATGATCCAAAATGATTGGCAGTGCATCCAAATATGGATCTACTTGCATGCATTTGGAAAGCAACAAGAACTAGGGCCTTCTCGCACCTAGTATTACCCATGGCCCAGAAAAATTCATCAGACCCTCCAAATAAGTTTCCAAACGACAGGCTGCCAGACCACCTTCCAACGCCCATGCGACGCCCATCGACAAACGACCCGAAAATGGGCTTCCCGGCTTGGACCAGCTGCTCTCGGAGAGCTTCTTCTCGATCTCCTGCCCTCGCGTGAAGGCCTCCGTCGTTCGCGGGGAGAAACGGCAGAAGAGGAGAAGGGAGAGGTCTCACGTGTCCAAGGTCTGGATTAGGTGAGGTCATAGGGCGGGGATATGGGTTGCTGAGGTGATCCAACGCTGAGGTGAGATAGTCTATGCTATAGAAATGTCCTAGAAGTCAAAGTTGGGATTGAGTGACTCATGAGTGACTTTGCATCTTTTGAGACTTTCTGGGTGGCATTCCTTTACGACCCGCCATGACATCTTCGTCGGGTCAAGCACCGCCTGTGAATCGGTAGGACCGAGGACCCAGAGGGGAACTCCGGAAGACTTCGGAGGAATGACCTCAGTTGGATAACTGCTTTAGAGCTCGGCGAAGCTCTTTAGAGCTGAAGAGATTCTATGTTTCCTGGACCCTTTTGGGGACCCGATGTACCTTAGAAAATGGGATGATGACGAGATATAAAGCAGGTACTTGAACCATCTAAAAGGGTTGGTATATGCAGGTATACTTGTACATCGTGTACCCATTTCCGCGGTACGAGTTCCGGGTCGACCTCAGGTCCTTACATATAGTTGTTGTTCTTTTCCTGAAAGAGAACCACTGGGTGTAATTTTCACTCTCATGCGCTTCTTGGCGTCACTGCTTTTGTTTCATCATGCTTGGCGAAAGAGGTGCCATGAAGTACATGGCACCACATCTATTGACATTGAGTGCATAAAGAATAGGAGAGCACCGCAGGTTTATAGAAGATATCCAAAACGTCCTCTGACACTTTTTTTTTCCCAAGCCAAATCCTTAAAACCCATGGTTGCTCTTTTCTAACTGTGACATCCATTGCAGTAGTCCATTTGGACATCTTCACAACCCCCCTACAGGCAACAAACATGTCATCCTCCAGATCTTCCAAAGCGCACGTCCAATCCCTCTAAACCTCGCGAGTTGAGAACATCTTCCTGGACCCGACAGTGTCCGTCACAACTCATATATACTGACCAGAACCTGCGACGATGACCCGAACCCCCACAAAAAACCCACCAGCTATAACTGTCCAATTAGTCCTTTCCTGCCTCCCTGGTGCCTCCCTGGTCCTGGTGCCTCCCAGGTTGTTACCCGAACCTGCTTGGTCCGAGTTGTCCAGTTGTGGAGAAACCGAAATTGCGACCTTCCACCGTGCCTCCGGCTGGTCTGTGGCTGTCCAGTAGACCTCGGACGTCGTTCGCCCCGCTGACGTTGAGAAGGGTACCACGACGGTCACGATGGAGTTACCACCTCTAACTTCAGTTTTATGGTGATATATATATAATATACAACACTAAGGAGTCCCTACATCACATCATCCACTCCTGTGCAGCTTACCATGAACTTGCAGGATGAGTGGGTAATATACAATATATAAATGTTCAAAGGCCTGGAAATGACTGTAATCCAGCGAGAACTAACATGTTACCTCCCCTATGTGGTTTGGCAGGTGAGTTTTGGGGAACTAAATTGTCGGTGGAAACTTCTTTGGCCCCCAAGCCATAGCCATGGTGTGTGGACCATACAGGTCCTGTGCTAGCTCTTGGACTCTTGGCAAGGTAGTTATAGCTTGATAGTCAACCACAGTCATCCTGAAATATGCATAATTACGAGTTTTTTGTTTTTTCTCATACAGAAAGAGAGGGAGAGAAAACATATGATATGCGAGATGCCATGCGTGCCAGTCAAACACGGGACATCGTCAAAGAACAGACATGACTCTTCCTCTTCTCCTCTACGTACGGCACGTGCCGCAAGATCTCCACACATCTGAGATGTGATCAGTAAAAACATGTCGTCCAAAGACGCGTTATTGGGTTATGTCACATCCCAGCTTCTTCAAAGTGACCTTTTGAAGGTTCCTAAGTGACCCTTAGGAGGCTTAAGTGACCTCAAACCAGGTGATTAAAGGGTCACTTTGAAGAACCAGGTCTACAGACATTGGGGTATCTCTTATTTTTTGCAACACATGCTTATTTCACACTCCAAAAACAACTATTCGGGCCGCATATGTTTGTTAACATCGTGTTGCGCCAAGTGGCCACCAGTAGTCGGCACAAGGTCTCACGAAGCAAGCACTTGGTCTGATCGTCTTGATCTCTGAAGAAGCCTCCGAGGGAGTTGGTCGAAACAGGTCCAATGAGGTTTTGATTTGAAAGAGTTGAAATGTTGAGGGAGAGATGAAACTTCTTGGATGAGTCTGAAAGGTTATAGAACACCACAACGCCAATTGTTGGGTGGAACCCCAGGTCCATGAAGATTGGTGGGCTTCTCCACAACTATAATTGTTCGATCCACGACATGTTTCATAGAAATATCTGTGACATACTTACACTAATTTTTAAAACATTGGTTGTTTGGCCAAGCGAGTCTGCAAATTGTCTGCGGAGTTAGTCTTGGTCAACTGTGAAGGGGCTCCATGTCTGAGACGGGGCTCAACCTGAAGGTAGTTCTACCTTCATGCACAAACGGGGGATCTTGATGGGGGGTGGGATGAGGGGTTGGATGGGGTGGGTCTCAGCTTGGAGAAGGGAGGATTCCCTCTGGAAAATCCTGGACAGGTGACTTCCAGTATTGAAGAATGCTTCCACACCCTTGCAATGCGAATTACCAAAAGATGAGTGTTGTGTGCTGGTGTTGACACTATAGGCACTTATATCAGTCTTTTCGATCCGTTCTCAGAGCGTGTCGCTCGCCCCGAACGCGCCACGCGGCGCTTGCGCGGCCTAGCTCGGGGAAGAGGTTCGTCAGGATGGGCTTCAAATAGACGTTCTCTTTGAGCCCTGGAGCCATGGTTGGCTCGATGCTTCATGTTTTTTCGTCACTGGGCATGATGGTACACCTTACAATTCCCAGACACGACTAATGGGACTGCCATATTTACCTACATTGGGGTGGTTTTGAAGGGTCAATGTAGGACATACATGGAGTGTCTGGGATTGTTTTCAGACATGAAGCTGTTGTTTGGATGATTCACCTCGTTTTTATTGCATGGCACATCACATTGCATATCATAGCATCAGCAACTTCTCATAGATGCGGGGTTCGTCACTCCGATGCAATGTTCCTCGACGCTTTTTTGGGGGGTGACAACATCTCCGATGCAGGCACTGCTGACTGTCAACGGGTTTTGGAGCAGCAAAGTAGCAAACACAACATGCAAGGGACTTAGATGACATGTCGAAGTTCTGTGCATCCGAAGACGGCACATCTGCCCATCTGCCCCAAAACGAGACCGCTGGTCCGGTGGGACACTGGGGACACCTCGGGACACTCACCTCTAAGAGGCTATAGACACACCTCTTAGTTTCGGTCCTGGTGCCATTTTGCTCGGAAAAAACTCGCCTGTCTGCGGAACCAGCTCGATGAACATGTTCCCCGCTTCTTGCTCCAAACCTGCACGGTCTTGGCAGTAGTGGGTCCAATACATAAGCCTTGGACCCTCTTTGTCATCACCTTGTTGGGACAATAAAGGGAAGATATCTTTGGGGATTCACCTAGGAACTGAACATATACACATACACTCCCCCCGAAAAAAAAAAAAAAAACCGCAAAACCTCGTGTTTTGGTCTTTCTCTTTGCAGAGTTCCTAAGTCTTTACAGCAGGAAAGGGAGCCACAACCTGATGGCATGGACCAGACTGGGAGACGATGGTCCTCTTTTAAAAAACAAAAAAACCGAGCGTGGTTTTCAGGTAACAAATGTGGGTCTCGGAACCAGCGCCTTCGAGGAATGAGAAAACATATGGGAATCGTTGCCTTCAAGGATAGATGTTATATGATGTTATACTCTCTACTCTAGAGTGGGGTCAAACATAGGTCAAACA